GGAGAGAGAGAGAGAGAGTAAAACGTATCCCAATTATGACGGAATTCAAACAAGTGCTCACATTTTAAAAGCCGCAGACAGCAGAGTAAATTAATTTACCCACTATTCGTACAGAAGTTCTAGGCTGCCAAAGAATGTGCTCTGCTTGGCGGCAGTCACGAGAGACAGTCTCCTTTGCTCGGCGTTGAAACGTGATTTATTACCTTCTGGCACTGCTCACGCAGATTTGGTTGAGCTAGGTGTTTTACGTTTTGCCTCAGTTCACAAAGGAGGGGAAAAGTCTGACCACACATCTAATCTTTAAGTCTCTAAGGTAGTCCCATGATTGGAAGTCCATGGGCTCAGGTAGGAATACCGTCAAGTTCTGGCACAACGTACCCCGCGACTTTTGTTTAAGTGATTCTCTCAGTGACCACAGCTGCAGTGTGCAAAGCTGCCCCCTCTTGCTTGAACGACTTATGTTTCCGCTCCTGATGTCCCACAACATTTTCTATGTGATCTTCGCAACAGATTCAAAATCTTCAGAAAACAATCTGCTGTCACTGTTACAGTATCATTGTCTTCTACCATGAACCAGCCCGGACGAATTAATCTCGATTCAACCCACGCTGTAGCATTCTGCATGCGGTAAGCGACGGTCTGTTTTTTCTGAACTCCAGTAAATGTGATTTCTTGTGTTCACGTCTCCGTTCAGTTAGAAGTGGACTTCATCGCCAAACCGCTCTTTCCATGATTGAAAAGGCCTATTATTAGCACAGCACCTCACTAACGATCGACACATTTTGATCCGTTGCCTGGTGTGTTCACGTGAAATACCTTTGTGCATCAAAATATGACATGCCTTCAAATGAAGATTGTATCTCAAAATTTCTGTAAACAAAAATGTATGAAAGCTAGAGCTCAACACTCCAACGGCGACGACGTACTGATGTCTTTGGCGTGGCTTTCTCAGAGCGCTGAACAGCGTCAATGTTCTCGTCCTTGCAAATCTACAGCTATGTCGTTCACACTTCCTTTTGTCGGACACAGACACTCCAAGGATAGTTTTGTTTTAGGGAAAATTGCACCCCATCCTATTGTTGTTGTACATTATAATTATATGAGATGTAATCTGCATTTTTCAACTCACTTACTTTCAAGTGTAATATCAATCATGCAACTGTAACTGACGAGAACTTTTGCTTGAATTGCACCAGAGTTGGGGCAACAGA